GGCTAGCACTAATAGTGCTCAATGTTTAATAACAGAGCTATAATTTATATTAATAAAAAATATACAATTTTTCTTCACCAGTGGCACAACTCAGAGTAGTAAAGTACAATCATCAAGGCACCAAATGCTGATTGAAAACTGACTATATATATATATATATATATATATATATATATATATGCTCCTGAAAAATTATTTCACTTGAGCTCTCTGGAGAGAAAGTGTGAGTTTGTAAACAGTGACTATTACTGCTACTAATGCAATATTCTTTGATAAAATGAATCGAGTTCTCTCAGTCACTGGCATGTTTATCTAAAAATAAATACACTTAAATTCACCTTCATCTCTATCATGTGCCCACGGTATAAGAGTAGATTCAATCCTAGCTAGAGGCAACCAAACGTCTAGCCACATTGATGAGCTGTGATACAGTGAAACAGTCTGTCTGTGGATGAATATGTGTGTGTGTGTGTGTGTGTGTGTGTGTGTGTGTGTGTGTGTGAATATAAATATATATATGTGTAATATATTATATATATTATTATTTATATGTTATATGTGCGGTACTTATTAGAAAGTGCTCAATATTAGAGACAGAGCTAACATATTTGTTTGGATTGATGTAAGTTTGTGACCCTGGGTTTCACACTTTTGTGATCGCCAATGATCACAAAAGTGTGAAACCCAGGTCACAAACTTACATCAATCCAAACAAATATATATATATATATATATATATATATATATATATATATATATATATATATATATATTATTAATAAAATATAATAGCCTCATCCACATGTAAAAAAAAAAGGCTAAAAATAATGTAATAATAGATTTCTTTTTGATTATCTATTAAAACATGATGTGGTTGAAATGATTTAGATGTATTTCTATATTGTGTTGATAAATGTAGAAACAAATTGCTACTTGAAATTGAAACAAACTGAAACGACTTTAATGCATGATAACACCAAACTCTTTTTGGCGTTACGAATATACGCCAGCTTAGAAAAATTTAGCCTCTTGTCATGTGATCGTTTATCTCAGATCATCTATGGTTTCTGAGGCTAAAAGAAAAAATGCGATAATAGTAGCAACGATAACTTAGAGGTTAGATCATTACACTGAAGGCTGTAAGGTTTACAATAGGCTGGCACTGATCACTGAAAATTATGTGCGAGTTGCAAGAATACATTTTTAAATTATGTGATATAAGTAAGATAGAAACAGATTTTTTTTTACAATTATATTCACCCTGTAGAGCTACTCGAGGTAAAGAGTAACAAAGTAAGAGGTACATTTTATACGGATATGTGGGGAAATTAATGGTTAACCCTAGACTTCAACAGATTAAGATTGTAGTGATTGGGGAAACATCCTCTTGGGAGTCTGTTCCATAGGGCAGTGGTTTGCAGAAAGAAGTTGTTTGAGTGGAACTTACTTCTCACCAATGGGTAGTTTATATGGATAGGAGAGAAAGATAATGGTTAACTCTAGACTTGAACAGGTTAAGATTGTAGTGATTGGGGAAACATCCTCTTGGGAGTCTGTTCCATAGGGCAGTGGTTTGTAGGAAGAAGCTGTTTGAGGGAACTTACTTCTCACCAATGGGTAGTTTATATGGATAGGAGAGGAAGATAATGGTTAACTCTAGACTTGAACAGGTTAAGATTGTAGTGATTGGGGAAACATCCTCTTGGGAGTCTGTTCCATAGGGCAGTGGTTTGTAGGAAGAAGCTGTTTGAGTGGAACTTACTTCTCACCAATGGGTAGTTTATATGGATAGAAGAGGAAGATAATGGTTAACTCTAGACTTGAACAGGTTAAGATTGTAGTGATTGGGGAAACATCCTCTTGGGAGTCTGTTCCATAGGGCAGTGGTTTGTAGGAAGAAGCTGTTTGAGTGGAACTTACTTCTCACCAATGGGTAGTTTATATGGATAGAAGAGGAAGATAATGGTTAACTCTAGACTTGAACAGGTTAAGATTGTAGTGATTGGGGAAACATCCTCTTGGGAGTCTGTTCCATAGGTCAGTGGTTTGTAGGAAGAAGCTGTTTGAGTGGAACTTACTTCTCACCAATGGGTAGTTTATATGGATAGAAGAGGAAGATAATGGTTAACTCTTGACTTGAACAGGTTAAGATTGTAGTGATTGGGGAAACATCCTCTTGGAAGTCTGTTCCATAGGGCAGTGGTTTGTAGGAAGAAGCTGTTTGAGTGGAACTTACTTCTCACCAATGGGTAGTTTATATGGATAGGAGAGAAAGATAATGGTTAACTCTAGACTTGAAGAGGTTAAGATTGTAGTGATTGGGGAAACATCCTCTTGGGAGTCTGTTCCATAGGGCAGTGGTTTGTAGGAAGAAGCTGTTTGAGTGGAACTTACTTCTCACCAATGGGTAGTTTATATGGATAGGAGAGGAAGATAATGGTTAACTCTAGACTTGAACAGGTTAAGATTGTAGTGATTGGGGGAACATCCTCTTGGGAGTCTGTTCCATAGGGCAGTGGTTTGTAGGAAGAAGCTGTTTGAGTGGAACTTACTTCTCACCAATGGGTAGTTTATATGGATAGGAGAGGAAGATAATGGTTAACTCTAGACTTGAACAGGTTAAGATTGTAGTGATTGGGGAAACATCCACTTGGGAGTCTGTTCCATAGGGCAGTGGTTTGTAGGAAGAAGCTGTTTGAGTGGAACTTACTTCTCACCAATGGGTAGTTTATATGGATAGGAGAGGAAGATAATGGTTAACTCTAGACTTGAAGAGGTTAAGATTGTAGTGATTGGGGAAACATCCTCTTGGGAGTCTGTTCCATAGGGCAGTGGTTTGTAGGAAGAAGCTGTTTGAGTGGAACTTACTTCTCACCAATGGGTAGTTTATATGGATAGAAGAGGAAGATAATGGTTAACTCTTGACTTGAAGAGGTTAAGATTGTAGTGATTGAGGAAACATCCTCTTGGGAGTCTGTTCCATAGGGCAGTGGTTTGTAGGAAGAAGCTGTTTGAGTGGAACTTACTTCTCACCAATGGGTAGTTTATATGGATAGGAGAGGAAGATAATGGTTAACTCTAGACTTGAACAGGTTAAGATTGTAGTGATTGGGGAAACATCCTCTTGGGAGTCTGTTCCATAGGTCAGTGGTTTGTAGGAAGAAGCTGTTTGAGTGGAACTTACTTCTCACCAATGGGTAGTTTATATGGATAGGAGAGGAAGATAATGGTTAACTCTAGACTTGAACAGGTTAAGATTGTAGTGATTGGGGAAATATCCTCTTGGTAATCTGTTCCACAAAGCAGCAGTTCATGGGAAGAAAAGGCTTGGAAATAGAAACAGAGCAATGCGAGACATGTGACATTTTATTTTTTAAAGGTTCAGCAGCCAAAAGGACACAGAGATGATTTTGGACTCTATCAAGACTAGAAAGTGAAGACTGTGCAGCTCCAGCCCATATATGAGAGCAGAACTCCATTTTCTGTCTTATCTGGTTTTTATAAAGGAGAAGTCAAGTACTTAATGGAGCTTTATACAGGGAACTGACCATTTCTCCAGCATCTCTTGTGATGGTTCATATGTACGTCTTCCACTTGAGGTCTGGGTTGAGTTTAAGTTCCCAAAGGTGCTCAAAGGATCAGGCATCCCTGACAGAACATCCATTCATTTTGATTAGTGATAATTCTGGGGTCTGGTAATTAGAGAGAAAAGGATGGCAAGAAAAGTATTTCTTTTTCTATGGAGCCTTAAAATGAATAATTCAATACAAAGACAGTGAAATATTGACTAAATAAAGTCAGGCTTCCAGAAAAATTAATTTTTCATATATGTTCAGTTGCTGACTATTTTGAGAGCTATATTGAAAACTGTTCATAGGTCATGCTGGGTAGTCTCATGGGCAGCACACAGCACATGGGCCATATTTTGGGCAGGCCTGTTCTCCAATAATAACAAAGATTCAACAAGTTTATTGGATGAAAGCAGAAAAAAATCACTGTATTTTTTATAATTTTTTAAAATTCTTTTAAATTCATAGCATCATTATTCAGTTATTAACTATTAACACTCTGCATTATTCACTACTTTCCTTTCCACTGCATTGTTTTTCAAGGCTCCTCTACTGCACTACGTAACTTCAGACATGATCATTTTCTGTTGCCATAGCAGGATATGATAACACAACCACACAATTCAAACATGCTATTATTCATATGAGTCACTTGCAATGGTATGATAAAATTTTTACTTTGCAAGCAAAATCACCTCCAGTATGTTATTTTCTTTTGCTTCCTATGGCGTTATATAATCTTATGGCTACATTGTACATTTCATCATGAAAAAGACACTATTGATTTTTTTTCAGTTCTTTGATGCATTTTTGTTAATTTATAATTATTGGAACTGCTAACTATACAAAGTGTGCTGCATGGCATGAAACAAGAGTCTGAGAGTAAGAGGCCTGGAGATTTGTTTATGCACCCAATCCTTCCATGATCACACTACAAGGTCCCCTCTTAAACAAAAGAAAAAAAAGGCACATAGAGGCAAAAATGGGCTGACAATGTCACTGAGTGGACTTCTGGAGGATTCACAGAGATTCAGACATTGGTACACACCTGAGACATGTGAAGGGAGCTGGTCAGATGCTCAGCTACAAAGCAACTGATCACTCAATCAAAAAAAAAAAAAAATAAAGAGAATTTATGAACGTAATGAAAATATTTCCTTTTCACATAAGAAAATCTTTTATAAGAGATGAGAATAAAATGGAGAGAAGCTGACCAATTTATAATGGACCTGGTTCAGAAGCAATTTTGATTAAATTTACTAATTAAATTACAATTGCTTTCTGTTAATTTGTACCAAAAAATTATCAGCAAAAATGTTTCCTTTTACTTTTAAATATTTTTATTATCTTCACAGATTAAATCATCGTCCATCATGCATTCTCTTGGAAAACGTAAAAGGTTTTGAAATATCCGAGGCCAGGGAAAGATTGATGTCAACTCTGGAGAAGTGTGATTATCAGTACCAGGTACAATTTGAATGCACTCTCTGTCTCTCTCCTACTTTAACTCTATCTCCCTCCCTTCCTAATCTGAGAGTTCCCCCACTCTCTCACTCTCTCTCTGTGCTTCCTTCCCTATATAACACTTTCTCTCTCTGTGCTTCCCTCCCCAGTTTGACACACACACACTCTCTCTCTCTCTCTCTCTCTACCTCCCTCTCCAGTGATATCCTCTCTCTCTGTGTCTCCTTCCCTCCTCAGTTTGATACTGTCTTTCTCTCTCTCTGCTCTTTTTCCAGTTTGACACTGTCACTCTCTCTGCCTCCCGCTCAGTCTGACACTCATTCTCTATCTCTCTGTGTCTCCTTCCCCCGTCTGGCACTGTCTATTTCTCTCCTAGTCTGACACAGATTCTCTCTCTTTCTCTCTCTTTCTCTGTTCCCTCCCCAGTCTGACACTCTTTCTCCCTCTCTCCTACCCTCCCAGTCAGTTTCTTTCTTTGTCTCCCTCCCCAGTCTGACACTGTCTCTCTCACTCTGCTTCCTTCACAATCTGACACTCTCATTCTCTCTCTTTCTGCTTCCCTAACCAGTTTGACACTCTCTCTCTCTCTCTCTCTGCTTCCTTCCCAGTCTGACACTCTCTCTCTCTCTGCTTCCCTCCCTAGTTTGACACTGTTTTTCACTCTCACTCTCTCTGCCCAGTCCAACACTCCTCCCTCTGTCCAACCCTCCATTTTTCTCTCTCTCTGCTTTCCTCCCCAGTCCAACACTATTTCTCTCTCTCTGCTTTCCTCCCCAGTCCAACACTATTTCTCCCTCTGCCCTCCCCAGCTTCCCCCTCTCCTCTCTGACACTGTCTGTCTCTCTCTCTCTCTGCTTCCTTCCCAGTCTGACACTCTTTCCCTCCCTACTTTGGACACTCTCTGCTTTCTCCCCAGTCCAACACTGTTTCTCTCCCTCTCTCCCCTCCCCCCTGTCCACACTGTTTCTCTCTCTGCTTCCTCCCCAGTCTGACACTGTCTCTCTCTGCTCTCTCTCCCTAGTTTGACACTATTTCTCTCCCTCTGCTTCCCTCCCTACTTTGACACTGTTTATCACTCTCTCTCTCTCTCTCTCGGCTTCCTTCCCAGTCTGACACTGTTTCTCTCACTCTCTCTCTCTGCTTTCCTCCCCAGTCCAACACTATTTCTCTCCCTCTGCTTCCCTCCCACTCTGACACTGTCTCTCTCTCTCTCTCTCTCTCTCTCTGCTTCCTTCCCAGTCTGACACTCTCTCTCTCTCTCTCTCTGCTTCCCTCCCTAGTTTGACACTGTTTATCACTCTCTCTCTCTCTCTCTCTCTGCTTCCCTCCCTAGTCTGACACTGTTTCTCTCACTCTCTCTCTCTGCTTTCCTCTCCAGTCCAACACTATTTCTCTCCCCTCTGCTTCCCTCCCACTCTGACACTGTCTCTCTCTCTCTCTCTCTCTCTGCTTCCTTCCCAGTCTGACACTCTCTCTCTCTCTCTCTCTTCCCTCCTAGTTTGACACTGTTTATCACTCTCTCTCTCTCTCTCTCTCTTTTCCTCCCCAGTCCGACACTATTTCTCTCTTCCTCTGCTTCCCTCCCACTCTGACACTGTCTCACTCTCTCTCTGCTTCCTTCCCAGTCTGACACTCTCTCTCTCTCTGCTTCCCTCCCTAGTTTGACACTGTTTATCACTCTCTCTCTCTCTCTCTGCTTCCTTCCCAGTCTGACACTGTTTCTCTCACTCTCTCTCTCTGCTTTCCTTCCCAGTCCGACACTATTTCTCTCTCTTCCTCTGCTTCCCTCCCACTCTGACACTGTCTCTCTCTCTCTCTGCTTCCTTCCCAGTCTGACACACACTCTCTCTCTCTCTGCTTCCCTCCCTAGTTTGACACTGTTTATCACTCTCTCTCTCTCCCTGCTTCCCTCCTCTATCTGACACACACTACTTCAGTGTAATTCTCATTATCACTGCTAATTATTTTTACTATGGAAAATGAATTGCTAATCATTTTTCTTCAAGCTCTACTTTAGGCAAAAGACGAAGAGGCAGACATGCCAAAATGGTCTGAAAACATCAATGAGTGGACAGGATGATCATTTACAGAGACATATGGAGCGAGCTCGCCAGGTGTTCTGTGCAGTTACCTGATAACCCCACCTGGTCATAGGATTAATGATGATGTAGAAGAAGAAAAGGATAATGAATATGCTGCAAGCAGAAGAACTTCCCATCCCACCCTTTTTTTCTTCCTCATTAGATTTCTTGCAAGTTGAGATGTTGAAGGCTCTCCTGGGTCATTTTACATTCTCATCATAAATCTACTTTTTATTGCCATTGAATATTTTATCCCAAATTTATTTTTTCTGTGTTGAAGAAGAAAAACTGGCAAACATTTAAATGTTGGTTTTCGTAAAATCATATGGAACCTATTCTCTGGGTTTTTGAATTTATCAACTAGTCTCTTATCTACATATGTATCTCTCTCTTTGCTTCCCTTCATAGTCCAACACTATTTCTCTCTCTTTTCCTCTGCTTCCCTCTCACTCTGACACTGTCTCTCTCTATCTGGTTCTTTCTCAGTCTGACACTGTTTCTCTCATTCTCTCTGCTTCCCTCCCCAGTCTGACTGTTTCTCTCACTCTCTCTCTCTCTGCTTTCCTCCCCAGTCTGACACTGTTTCTCTCTCTCTCTCTCTCTGCTTCCCTCCCCAGTCTGACACTGTTTCTCTCACTCTCTCTCTCTCTTCTTCCCTCCCCAGTCTGACACTGTTTCTCTCTCTCTCTCTCTTCCCTCCCCAGTCTGACACTGTTTCTCTCCTCTCTCTCTCTCTCTGCTTTGCTCCCCAGTCTGACACTGTTTCTCTCCTCTCTCTCTCTCTCTCTGCTTCCCTCCCCAGTCTGAAACTGTTTCTCTCTCTCTCTCTCTCTCTCTTCCCTCCCCAGTCTGACACTGTTTCTCTCTCTCTCTCTCTCTCTCTGCTTCCCTCCCCAGTCTGACCCTGTTTCTCTCTCTCTCTCTCTCTCTCTCTGCTTCCCTCCCCAGTCTGAAACTGTTTCTCTCACTCTCTCTCTCTTCCCTCCCCCCAGTCTGACAATGTTTCTCTCCTCTCTCTCTCTCTCTCTCTTCCCCTCCCCAGTCTGACACTGTTTCTCTCACTCTCTCTCTTCCCTCCCCAGTCTGACACTGTTTCTCTCTCTCTCTCTCTCTCTCTCTTCCCCTCCCCAGTCTGACACTGTTTCTCTCATTCTCTCTCTCTCTGCTTCCTCTCCCCAGTCTGACACTGTTTCTCTCTCTCTCTCTCTGCTTCCCTCCCCAGTCTGACACTGTTTCTCTCATTCTCTCTCTCTCTCTGCTTCCCTCCCCAGTCTGACACTGTTTCTCTCACTCTCTCTCTCTCTGCTTCCCTCCCCAGTCTGACACTGTTTCTCTCACTCTCTCTCTCTGCTTCGCTCCCCAGTCTGACACTGTTTCTCTCACTCTCTCTCTCTCTCTCTGCTTCCCTCCCCAGTCTGACACTGTTTCTCTCACTCTCTCTCTTCTTCCCTCCCCAGTCTGACACTGTTTCTCTCCTCTCTCTCTCTCTTCTTCCCTCCCCAGTCTGACACTGTTTCTCTCACTCTCTCTCTCTCTCTGCTTCCCTCCCCAGTCTGACACTGTTTCTCTCTCTCTCTCTCTCTCTGCTTCCCCCCAGTCTGACACTGTTTCTCTCACTCTCTCTCTCTCTCTCTCTCCCCTCCCCAGTCTGACACTGTTTCTCTCAATCTACCTCTCTCTGCTTCCTCCCCCCAGTCTGACACTGTTTCTCTCTCCTCTCTCTCTCTCTCTGCTTCCTCCCAGTCTGACACTGTTTCTCTCACTCTCTCACTCTCTCTTCTTCCCTCCCCAGTCTGACACTGTTTCTCTCTCTCTCTCCTCTCTCTCTCTTCCCTCCCCAGTCTGACCCTGTTTCTCTCCTCTCTCTCTCTCTCTGCTTCCCTCCCCAGTCTGACACTGTTTCTCTCACTCTCTCTCTCTCTCTGCTTCCCTCCCCAGTCTGACACTGTTTCTCTCTCTCTCTCTCTCTCTCTCTGCTTCCCTCCCCAGTCTGACACTGTTTCTCTCACTCTCTCTCTCTGCTTCCCTCCCCAGTCTGACACTGTTTCTCTCACTCTCTCTCTCTCTCTTCCCCTCCCCAGTCTGACACTGTTTCTCTCTCTCTCTCTCTCTGCTTCCCTCCCCAGTCTGACACTGTTTCTCTCACTCTCTCTCTCTTCCCTCCCCAGTCTGACACTGTTTCTCTCACTCTCTCTCTCTCTTCCCTCCCCAGTCTGACACTGTTTCTCTCACTCTCTCTCTCTCTGCTTTCCTCCCCAGTCTGACACTGTTTCTCTCACTCTCTCTCACTCTCTCTCTTCTTCCCTCCCTAGTTTGACACTGTTTCTCTCACTCTCTCTCTCTCTCTCTGCTTCCCTCCCCAGTCTGAAACTGTTTCTCTCACTCTCTCTTTCTCTCTGCTTCCCTTCTCTGTCTGACACTTTTTCTCTCCAGTGTCTTCTCTCTCTCTGCTTCCCTCCCCAGTCTTGAAAATGTTTCAATCTTTTATGTTCTCTCTGTATATTCTGGGAATCCCAGTCTGACACTGATGTTCTCTCTCTCTCTCTCTCTCTCTGCTTCCCTCCCAGTGAATTTGATCCTTAATGGATCTCTCATAGAAAAAGTCTTGGCATCATGTGTCCCCAGTCATAGACACTGTTTCATTTCACTAACTTTCTCTCTCTCTCTCTTCTCTCCCCATCTACACTGTTTCTCTCACAGACTACCTCTCTCTAGCTTTGGCTGGTCCCCAGTCTGACAAAAATTCAAACTGATTGGGTCTCTCTGAGTTCCTCTCAGTCTAACACTATTTGTCTATAGAAAACTCTCACTCTCTCTCCTTCCCTCCCTAGTTTGAACACTGTATTCTCTCACAAGTCTCTCTCTCTCTGCTTTCTTCCCAGTCAAGACACTGTTATATATATATATATATATATATATATATATATATATATTAATTTAACACTATAATAGCCTCATTAACAAGTCTCTCTGGCTTCCCTAATGGAGTCTTAAACTGTTTCTCTCAAAAAAAAAAGAAAGACTCTGCTTCCCTTCTCTGTCTGACACTTTCTACCTCACTCTCCAGTGTAATTCTCATTATCACTGCTAATTATTTCTATTATTGAAAATGAATTGTCAATATTTTATGTTATGGGTATTAATGTATATATATATGGGAATCTAGACATGACGGTGATGTTTAGCATGTCTAGTTTCTTTAACTATTAGTGCTAAGCAGTGAATTTGATCCAATTTTTTTATCAAAAAGTTCAAAATTGGCATCATGTGTTAAAAAACGGAGACATTTTTTCAAATTTCAATCAAAACTTTGTATTTTAAAAGACTTTAAATATTCAAATTTTCAGAGGTATGAGTCCATCTCTTCTCTCCCCATCTAGGGGTTAAATAGCAAGACAGACTAGGCTCTCTGACTTTTGATGGTGCATTCTGAATTCAGGACAAAATTCAAAACTGATTGGGTGTGGTGTGAGTAACTCCACACTGTATAAATCTATTTGTTATAGAAACCGTAACAGTAACACCTACAACAGAGTCTACAGGGTGAACACATACCTGTATATCTATCTCAGAGACAAGTGTTGAAACTGGAAAATCTCTTCATGACACAAGACAAGGTGGATATATATATATATATATATATATATATATATATATATATATATATATATATATATTAATAATTAATAATATAAATATAATAGCCTCATTAACAAGTAAAAAAAGGCTAAAAAATAATGGAAAAGTATTATTAATAAAAAAACATGAAACAAAAGAAAAGGAAAGAAAAAGACATCTGTGTTTTGGGAAAATAATCAATCAGATGAAATGAAATACCTAGTCAAAAGAAAAAACACTGACAGAGTGTTTATATAAAATGACACTGCCTAAGTATTGGATACCCACAGTTATTTTCTGTTATAACTATTTTAATGTTTGGATGCTATTTTGCCAAGATATTTGGTAAGTAATATCTCATAAAGTTGTTTTAGTTGTATGTGGAAGGAAAATTAAAAATCTCATGGTTTAGAATCCATTTTTTTTTCATCAAATGTTCAAAATTACCTTATGCAAAAATGTATTGAATACGTGACACTTTTTTCAAATTTCCAATCAAAACTTTGTATTTTAAAAACTTTTAAATATTCAAATTTTCGATAGTATTGAATGTTATCTCTGACCAATCAGAGAATTACACAAGTGTTTAAAGATAGTGCTACTAATCATCTGACTCTTTGATGTGCATTCTGCAATTCAAAGGATTAAAAATGGCAAAACTAAAGAATTATCCAGAAATATTAAAGATAGAATCATTGAACGTTTCAACAAAGGAGGACAATTTTACCAAAAAATTAGCAAAGAAATGAATCTATATATAAGTACAGAAGGAAATATATCAGAAAGTAAAAGAAGTATGGCAACGGTACATGTCAAACCTTCCAAGAAATGGAAGACTTTAGAGAAAAATTTGTAAAAAAATGATGTATTTCTTCAATGATGGATCAGCAGAAATCTTCAAAAAAACCTTCATTACTCATTCTGAAATTAAAACTGATCTTGAGGGTGCTGGAATTAATGTTCTGTGATGGATACCATTAGCAGAGCTCTATATCGTTGATGCAGGCTTTCATTCAAGATCACCAAGAAAACATTGCCTTTACTGAAAATCAAACATGTCAAATCCACGGATTTTTTGCAAAGTTTGTCGATTGTCTCATTTTGAAAAGAAATGTGACCTCCATGCAGTTTTGGGGAAAGGTAATTCTCTTGTTCAGATGAAATGAAAGTTGAACTATTTTAGTTGAAGGAACACAGCGACCCTGTTTGGCAAAAAATGACACTGCCTTCAACAAGTTCAATTTAATCCCCACAGTTAAGTTTGGGGTAAATTTAATTTAATATGGGGGAAAAAAATTTTCAGTGGGCACTGGTGAGTTATGGGGACCCATGGTAGAATGAATGATATCATAGTACCCTGAGATTCTGAAGAAGAAACACTGCATCACAGAAACTGCATCATGAAACACCACATTGCATGAAACACTGCACATGGTCGGAATTGCATGAAACATTGCATCAGATGAAACAATGATCCCAAACATCACATCACAAAACTTACAAATCTCATGGTTTGAAAATCATGAAACACACCACATGTCATAGCACATTAATGTAACAAAAAAGTCTCCTTATGACTTTTTAATCCAATTGAGAATTTTGGAATATATATATTTGTATATACTAGCTAAATTATTCCATGGTTAACATCTTTAGATGAGAATGATAGGTAAATGATGATTGAACTTTAAATCGTTGTTAACAAACACGGAAATTTGGTGTAGATATAAAGTGGGGGATCAATTTTGTATTGCAATCAATTTATAAACACATCCCTCATTTTATGGCCAGAGTTTCTCTTCTTTCTATATTTTGAGAGAATGAAAGGTCCCTTTGTTCAAATTTACTGAAATTTAATTTAAATTAACAAACATGAACATGTGATATGGATATAAAGTGGGGGATCAATTCTGTATTACAATCAACTTATAACCTGATACCCCATTTGTATGTATTTGATTCAATACTTGATTGATAGTCCATTGAGAGAATAAAATAAATTTGAAAAAAGCATTGATATGGCAATCAATAATAGATTAAAAAAACACAAATGTGAATTGGATATAAATTATCCAATTCTATATTTTCCTTTTGCAAAAGATTGATTTCGTTCGCATATTGTCTCATTTTGATCTTTCAATGTGACTCTCCAATCTTCCTGTCCTTTGTAACTTTAATATATTTTGTCTTTTTAGGCAATTTGACTTCTTCCCTTGTTCAAATTTAAATCAAAGGGTTAAATTTTTAGTCTGGTTTTTGTAATCTGTCCAGAGGACCCTCTTTTCCCATCAAATGAAAAATTCAACTCTCTCTTCTTGATGTTAATTATAAGCATCCATTCCATTTAAAACTTTTGTCGTACACTTATTCCAATGGTATTCTCAATTTAAAAACCACATTTCTATCTCCAAGTCATTTCTTCATCTCAGAGGAGATTGTCCAGCATTTACTGCCATATAGTAAGACTGATGTTATATAACAGTTCAGTACTCTATAATCCAAAGAGAATGAAATTAAACCAGGAAAACATGCTTTTATAGCTAATCAATATTTGATTAACATTTTATGTGGATATAAAGTGAGGGGATCACTTCTATATGACAATCAAATTATAAACTGATCCCCCATTTTGTGGCAATAGTAGAATGAAAGTTAATCTGAAAAACATGCTTCTGTAGGTAATGAAATATTTGATTAACGAGAAACTGTGGTGAAAATATGAAGTGGGGGATCCCTTCTATATGACAATCAAATTATAAACTGATCCCTCATTTTGTGGCGATAGTAGATTTTCTAGATTTTTTTATTGTCCAGAGATAATTTTTTTATACTAAAGTAGACAAGGCTCGAGCGCCACCCAAGATAGAGAGTTAAAGTCAACAAAATGGTTAGGATGAATACAATCTGTGATATGAATGAACCTGGGAGATGATAGAAAAGAAAGATTATAAGGATAAGGAGGATAAATAATAATTGAAGATGTCAACATAAAAGTGTTCAGGGAAACACCCACATAGTTCCACAGAATGGCAGTTCTTAGTAAAATAGGAGGAGATAGGTTTTTCTATTGCCCAGTTCACACTCCTCCCAGTTTTTTGAACAAGAGTAGATGTTTTTTGCCTGTTTCCTGATTAGACTTTTCTTTCTCTTACACATACAGTAGCCCCTTACATCTTAGTATCATTATTGCCTTGCTTATGATGAACTGATTAAAAAGAAAAGAAATCTATCTGAATAGATTTTTCTTTTTACATTTGGAACACAAGGGAAATAAAGATGATTCAACTTTGTGGAAGTGGCATATTGTAACTGGTGGAAGAATTATTGTTGTTGTTGTTAAATTTTCTTATCTTTTTATGTGCCATGTCCCTTCAGGACATAGGCGACCATGGCTCTCCACTCCCTTCTGTCCCTTGTAGCTCATGATAAGTTTTGTCCCTTTGCTACTTCCCCACAGGCCATGTTCTGTCATCCACTTGCTTAAGCCCTCTAGGTATGTCATGCATTGCTTTCTCTTGTCTCTCTTTCCCTCATTTCGACCTGTGAGCATCAGATTCCCCAAGCCGTCCTTTCTCATTACATGTTCCAGAAATTTCATCTGCCTCTTCCTGATGTTAAGTATAAGATTCCTCCTTGTTTGCATCCTTTTCAAGACCTCGTCATTGCTCACACACTCAGTCTATGATATCTTTAGCATCCTTCTGTAGAACCATACCTCCGTTGCTTTGAGTCTCTTCTTCATCTTTGAGGAGACCATCAAAGACATTTGCTGCCATGTCATGTAGGAGTTCAGCACTCTTTTCTTTTTTTACCAATGAAATCTTTCTGTCTTGTAATACTCTGCCTAGCTTTTGGAATGTGACTTTTCCAATCTCAATATGTCTTCAGATCTCAGCGTCGCACTTACCATCCTCTGTCAGAATAATTCCCAGATATTTAAATTTCCACACCTGCTTGAATTTAGTTAACCCAACTTGTAAATTAATGTAAAGGAGGACATATGTCACGCAGCTCGTAGTACTCTGCCTAGCTTTTGGAACAGCTCTCACTTACCATCCTCTGTCAAAACACTTCCCAGAATTTAAATTTCCACACCTGCTTGATTTTAGTGTCTCCGACTTGTAATTTATAAATTAAATGTAACCTTAGGTATGTATGTACTGGATTTGGTACCAATCTACATATGCACTGGGGTGATTGTAGCGTATCTCCATTGGACTCATATTTCCTCACCTTAGCTGTTTGGTGATGGTGGTGGTGGGTCTTAGAACCTATCCCCTGCATATAAGGAGAGACATGCTATATATTTCCTTTTATAAGTATCAGATTTTTCCGTCTCATCTAATTTTATTCATTCCTTATACCTGCTGTCTGTATCTAGGAAGATTTCTTTCAAAATGTTTTCCTCTTTCCAGGGTAAGTAGAACACTTGACATATTTGTTTCAGATCTTAGCTCTTTCCCCATCTTTGCGTGAACGAATCCACATCCTCCCCTATTCATCACCACCCGTGCCAATAG